CAGCGATGTTTGTTAGCTACAGTACCGTTGAAAGCATTTACATTGCAGATAACGATGCATTCCACTTGATAAAGGCTCATAATGGTCCAGCAGTTGGAGGCGATAACGCCATAGTCACAATAATGTTGTGTTTTATGAGAACACTCTTACATTTGAAAATTAACAGTAAACTCCTGAAAAGTGTTAATAATAATAATAATCAATTAAATTAAAAAAAAACAGAAAAGAAAAAACTAAACAGAAAGATGGATTAACCAATATACTTAAGTTCCGCTGCTGCCACTAAACTTTGTGGCCGCTCATGGTACTGCAACAAAAATGTCATGTGACCCAAAAAGCATGTTCCCCACAAAACAGGCTTTATGCTAGTCAAATGTTTGCCCAAAGTCTAGAAAAGTGATTTTTATGTGTGACATCATCCCAATTTAATGTCTATGGGCAGAGCAGGAGATGGCTTTGCAGTGATAGGATGCTGAGAAACTGGCAGTGAGCTTCAGAATCAGAATCAGTTTATTGGCCAGGTGTATCGGACACATGAGGAATTTGTCTCGGGTACATAGGCTCTCAATGTGCATGGACATATTCCCATGCAAGGGGCAAGTAAACAGTAAACCAACATAATGTGTAATATAACAAAATAAGCAGTATTAACAGCAACAAACAGTGCAAACAATGCAAAATAAGCAGTATAAACATGCAGTAAACAATGCAGACAGACAAAGTTTGCAGAGATGCAAAAATTTGAGCTTTGCCCACAGTCTGCAAGCTTGTTTGGCAACAGCTAATAACCTAGCTTAACTGTGGTGATCTGTCTAGTGCAGCAGCTGCAAGATACACAGTGTGGCCGTGCACTCCTCTCCCTCCACCAACTATGGTCAGTTTAGACCTATGACACCACAATCACCATTCATGTGCTACTACTTTTGAGAGAACAGCATTGTTATTTCTACTTGAGGAAAAAAAAAAAAACTGTGGCCATAAATTTTCCATCTGTGCTCATATAGAGTGCCTCTAAAAAAAAGGAAGCATAGCTTTGTAGTCCTTATAACGTTACAGTGTGGGGCAGGGATACACCAATCCAATATTTACATCAGCCCTGATATTGCCTAAATAGTTAGATTGGGTATTGGACAACGAGGCTGATCTGTGAGTCAGTAGTAAATAGTAGACTCACAACAACAACAACAACCACATGGAGAGAGCCAAAGACTCAGCTATATGGGAGGTATTTTATGCTTGCTACGTGACATGTTTGACGTCTACTTGCAATATCTGCAGAGGAAATGATGTAAGGGGTGGTGTTATGCACCGCAAAGTACAGTGCAACACAAACTTTATCAAACACCTCCACAAGCATCGTGCCAAAAAGCACACTAAGTTCCTGCAGCTGAACAAAACAGAGGTGTGGAGGTGTTGCGTTAAGGATGGCTCCAGTGTGTCGAGCCATGCTTTCTGCACTGCATAAAATATCCTGAACTTAATGATGAATAACTTTTAAAACAGTCTAACTCCACTATTCAGCACTACATAGCACTCAGTCTTTTTGTGGTCTTTTGTGGTTTCAGCAACTATGGCTCTTTGGTTTTATTATTCTGAAAAAATTATAGACTATTTGGAGTTATGAGGGGTGCCAAGCTAATCTAGAGGTACCCAAGATTAAACATTAAATGGCTGGAAATGAGCATGTGTTGGGACTTTAAGATTTTCCACAATGTCTAATGAATCCAATAAAAAGCTATACTATACTATACTATCAGCTATACTCCCCCCTCCATCACCCTCTGCTGCCTACAGCCCTTCTGTTGTTATTCCAGCTTCTCTACCCTGTGTTGTCAAAGTACGGTCTATAAAGTAGCCCCGCCTGCCACCTAGCTAAGTTTATAAAAAGAGTTTTTCGAACCGGGAGTAGTCATTTCCAACAGCCAGCCATGGAAGAGCTCTCAGCAGCTACAAGTCTGAAAAAGCGGTAGCCAGAGGGAAGAGGTGGCATCTTTTGCACAGAGAGAATGGAACAAAAAAAAGAGCACAAACTAGGGTTAAAATCAGTTTATATGTTTTAGAAGGAGAATGTTAAAACAGCCAAAGGATGACGTGGCATTATTCCCTCTGGATGTGTTAGCATCTAACGCTAATGTGTTTGGTTTGGTGACATTAGCTACCTAGCCTGGCCATGATTTTTTTTTTTTTTTTTTACCTTTGTATTGAACTGATAGGATTTTATTTCGGGAGCAATCGAGCTTTGTGTAACAGTTAGTGCTTTGTGTCACATTAGCACTAAGGAGAGTGTTCTACTGGGCTAACAAATTTAGTTGACAGCTAATGCTAGTTTCAGAGGAACTGTTATGACAGTTTTACTTCCAGTTTCTTTAGGGATTAACATTTTACATTCACAAAAAAATGATGATCTGACAAAATGTGATGCATGACCCAGGCAGTATACCAAACAGTTCAAAAGGGCACCAACTAAACCAACCACAACAGTAAACTGCTGCTTACAGGGATGGACATTTTTCTCTATTTTGATTAAACAGTTCATTGAGTTAAATTAATAGAGAAAATAATTAACAGATTATCTGATAATATACAGTCTATGATCTGAACAATAAGAACAAACACACCACTGTCCTGATAGTGTCTGACAACATTCATGCATTATAAATTAAATTTGTGCTGTACACTTCTATCCACACTGAGCTTATGGGCACATTACAGAAATGTTTTACTTATTTCCCTGCAGACATCTGGCCTTACGCATAAAACACATTGCTTGAATTTTACCCTTGTTAGACCAAATCACAAGAGTCAAAGAACATGATCATATTTTCCAGCAAAGAGAAATTATCTTACTGGGAGTCATTCTTTTCCTGCTGTAGTTTAGTGTAGAATTCAAAATTAACATAAAAACAGTCACAAGACTGGAAGTGATAAATGCAAAACAGCAAAGTCAAAGTGTGAAAGAGTTTTGATGAACTGTTAAGAGCATGGAGACAGATCCTCATGCAATAGTCAGCCATGTCTGTCAGAAAAGAAGAAGTGATTACCAAAACACCAAAACATCAGCTTCTCCTCATAAGGCGTGGTGTTCAAAATGACCAACTGCAATGTCTAACTCAAACTTGAACAGTGTGTTTAAGAACTGCTGAAGACAAAGACAACCTTAATAGGAGACAACACGTGTATAAAAGTCAAAATGTGTAGATTGTCATTTAAATATTATAGGAAAGAAAGGACTCACTGACTAGTGAATAGTGAAGTCAGACAGAGCAGCTCAGTACAACACACTACCTTGTAGAAGACATTATAATTACCCTCAGTGAGATAAATACAGGCTACTAGCAGAGGAATATTACAGCAGGAACATGAGATCATAATGACACAGCACAATAAAGTCCACATAAACTAAACTACAACAGACACATTCAGGGTTAGAATATTATATTCCATTGTAGGCATTTCTACAATAATGTGTGGAAAATTAAAGCTGAATCATCAATGACAACTGGGACACCACAATGAAGTAAACACACACACACACACACACACACACAAACTATACAACTAGAAGACCAAGGTTGAAGTACATTAAGGTCACCATAGACCCTGACACGTATACACTCACCGGTCTTTCAATAAATCGTGATGTTTACAGTGTTCAGTGAAGAGGTGCAACGAGTCACTCCATTTCCTCAGTAAGTCAATTAATAAATCTATACCATGCCAAATAATTGTGAAAAAGCCATTTAACTTGCCACATGCCAAGGAGCCATCTTTAAATGCCTCGTTCTGTCTGACCATCAGTCCAAAACTTAAAAGATATTTAGGTTATTGTCAGAAAAGCACAACAGTTTCACATTTAAGAACCAGAAATAATTGATTTTAAGCAAATGTGCCAAACAAGTAAAACAAATATTTGATTATAAAAAGTTGAATTATCTGTTGATCGGCTAATGAATCGACTCTTGACTAACGAGTTTAGACAGGTGTTGAATCAATGTCACATTTGTTTTGGAGGTGGTGTTGTATTGATGTATATTGCTTCATATAAATGGAGTGAATTCTAATTAAGAAGAGTCTGTCAGTGTAAATTTACCACAACTTTAACAAAACGTAAAGTTGTGGTAAATAGTAGGTTTACTTTTTATGTTATGAAACTGCTTTGAGTGCACAAAAAGAGCCAAGAAACTGAAAACCAGAACTAATGTTGTGTATCACAGTGTGTAATGTTTTATTTTTTAAAAATAAATTTTGATTTTATAAAATTAGTATAGGGAAAAAGTATCAATTAGGAAGTGGTATCTAAGTTTGGAGTGACACCCAGACCTAACTGTACTGTAATTAGACTTTGTTAGATGTACTTATTAATAAAGTACTGAATGTTTACAGTATATGCATACTGTAGTACTACACAGTACTTGTATAAACCAGGCCCCTTATCGTCCACAGACACAAGGCAGCTTCGGGTAACGGAAACGTAGCAGACGCTGAACTCAAGCGGAAAGTTAACGGGTCTTGTAGAAATGGGTTCCTGGAGGAAAAGCAGGCCAAACTACACCACAAACACACTGTATACGTATTAAAGCAGCACTGTACATTATGTCAAAGTCGTTGAGAGAAGAAGCCAAACTACAGAAACACTAAACGAGTAAAAATACCACAGGAAGATGTTACATAAAGTAAATTATGAACACAGATTTCCCCCTCCTCCTCCTCCTCTTTTCTCTTTTCTCTCTTATTCTTATTAGTCTCACACTCCTTCACGTTTCCACACAGACACACAAAACTTCAACAGACAACAACAGTAATAACAAGCCGCAGAAAAATCCACATGAACACTGGTGGGATTTTTCTAAACTTTCCAGCCCTAGTTTTCACCGCGTTTCAACCACTTATACATAAACGCACATGGGGTTGTATCAGTATCCAAACGCGCAGTAACACAACAAAACTCCTGTAATCCGGCACAAAGCCCCGTTAAACACAAACTGGGTGGGGGGACTTACTTGAAGTAGCAGCTGCAGCACCGGCCCAGATGGTTTTTCTGCTCCTTTTTCGTGAAGCTATAGAGCTGAAGGCGTGATGATGTAGACCTTGGAGGCCCCGCCCACCGAAGGAGGAGGGGGGGGGGGCGTATGACGTCTTCCTAAATAAATAAATAAACAAAAAAAACCCCAAACAAATAAATAGATAAATAAACAAACAAACTCTAAACACAGCAAAGTCAACATCCCATTAGAATTGTATTTGGTCTACTTTTTGGATTTAATGGTGTAAAAATTGTTTTGGATGGGTTGTGATCATTTGAGCTGCTGGAGTGTAAGTAAACTCTCCACATCTGTAAAGATCAGAACTCAGCTGATAACATCTGATATACTGGAGGCTACCTGTACACTGTCAGCAAATCAAAATAAAGGCAAAAAGTTTCTCAAAGTAGCTCAACTTTTTCTTTTTAAATCATATACAAAGGATTTTGTAACTGAGTGAAATACAGTATATGAAAATTCATTCCGGTAAATCAGTGTCTTTTTTTGAACCTTTATTTTACCAGGTAAAAGCCTAACTGAGATTAAAAACCTCTTTTTCAAGGGGGGCTCTGGGATGGGAATCAGTTGTTGATGTGTCTCCACCTTTCCTTCTCACATGTTGGACTGGATGTAAATTAGTTCTTCATTTTCCACGTTAAAAGACTCATAAATCAGATGAGAGATGCATCTTTATCTGACAGTATATGAGACTATATGATTCACACAGGAAACAAGCTTATTTTTAGCAGAGACCACAGACAAAATGGAAAATGTAGTGTAGGCTAATTTATCTTCTTATCATTAGCTGCTCTGCTGCAGTGCATCACGAGATGGGCTCCAGACGGAAATGTTGATCTGATCAGCACAAAGCAGAGACATGATTGGTGGATTTCCATGGCATTAATCTATTTGTACTTCAGTACATTTCAGAAAAAAATATAGTACTTTTTGCAGCATTATAGTTTTTTAAAACTCAAATTAATATTACAAAATATAATCAACAAATAAATTATTATTGTAGAAGCTTTGCCTAACACCAGCTTCATGTTGTACAGCTGGTTGTTGCATGAGGTTTCATGCAGTGCAAAAAAGCTTCTGGTGTATTTTTATATATTTATTTTTGTCTCCAGAACCTGGCACAAAGCTATGGCAAAAAATCAAACAGACTACATGATTAACACGTCTATAGTGCATGTTAAAAATCAGGTGCAGAGGGAAAATACTTAAAAACCTTTAGTAGAACAGTCATCGCAGAACTTTTACTTGTAATAAAGTACTTGGCTGTATTGATGCTTTTGCTCAAGTAAATGATCTGAATATCAAAACAATATTCATCAGATAAATAAAACATTCACCAACATGATGAAACTCTACAGCACACACTGTATCTGTACTGTTGGATGAGCTTTTTTTGACCACTATTCAAAAGGATGAACTGTTCATTCCAAAGGTGACAAAGATGGCGAACGAGCTGACTGACTGAAGGTAGAAAAGGTCCCTGTATTTAAATTTTTAGTGATAGCATCTTGACTACTGCAGTTATAAGACAAGTTGATCTGTTTAATAATCAATATTTTCTGATATCTTCATGGTTTGTTGTGAATCATCACCTCAGTTGTCTATAATAAGCTCTGTAAATGCTTCACATGTGGTTGTAAACAGATGTGACAGAAGCAGTTGAGTCACAGTGTTTATTTTCAGTTTTAACAGTAACATATGATTAGTCATCTACTGTAACTACAGTACAGAGTATCACTGAGTAATAACAGAGTAACAACATTAGGCACATCAGGTTAGTACCAGCGATGTTTGTTAGCTACAGTACCGTTGAAAGCATTTACATTGCAGATAACGATGCATTCCACTTGATAAAGGCTCATAATGGTCCAGCAGTTGGAGGCGATAACGCCATAGTCACAATAATGTTGTGTTTTATGAGAACACTCTTACATTTGAAAATTAACAGTAAACTCCTGAAAAGTGTTAATAATAATAATAATCAATTAAATTAAAAAAAAAAAAGAAAAGAAAAAACTAAACAGAAAGATGGATTAACCAATATACTTAAGTTCCGCTGCTGCCACTAAACTTTGTGGCCGCTCATGGTACTGCAACAAAAATGTCATGTGACCCAAAAAGCATGTTCCCCACAAAACAGGCTTTATGCTAGTCAAATGTTTGCCCAAAGTCTAGAAAAGTGATTTTTATGTGTGACATCATCCCAATTTAATGTCTATGGGCAGAGCAGGATATGGCTTTGCAGTGATAGGATGCTGAGAAACTGGCAGTGAGCTACAGAATCAGAATCAGCTTTACTGGCCAGGTGTGTCGGACACACAAGGAATTTGACTCTGGTACATCGGCTCTCAATGTGCATGTACATATCCCTATGCAAGGGGCAAGTAAACAGTAAACCAGCATAAGGCTGTGTAATATATACTGAGGAATTATCAAAATGTTTTTGTTTTCAGGGAATTTAAATCTTTGTTGCATATCAGCAAAACAATGAGACTTTCCTGTTCTCATCACTCACCATTTTCTGAGGGCCTCTGTTGTTATGGTGCTGATGACTCAAGATCATTATCTGAATAAAATGTAGGTGTGGAAGGAGGATCTCTGTGTCATTATGCCATTAAACACAAACAGAGTCCACTGATCAAACACCACAACTCTGAAACAAGCAACACAACAATCAATACAACTGACAATAAAAAACATGTGAATTTGTCCTTTTACTATTAGGAATACCATACTCGCTGACTGGACTGTAGAACAGATGTCTGATTGTCAGTGACTCCACATTCATTTCTGTAACTTTGAACAGATTAAAAAGGCTGTAATCTACTTTTACATTCTATACTGAGTTCTAACCGGTATCAGGTGGAAACATGCACCTCAAGAACTTTACGATATCTGACAAAAGAAAGCTTTTCAGGACTCCTGATGAGACAAAAACCTTTTCTTAAATGGCCTCATCTTATTGACAATGAAACTGTATAAATTCTATGACTTTCTACAGACCATATCAGCCATTATTCCTCCTTCTTTTCTTCTACCCAGAATGCCTTTCATCATCGCAGCTTTGCAGACTTTCTGCTGACTGGCTGAGAGTTAATGCACATCCAAAAGCTTTAATGGACTTCATGCAGTATGGGAAACAAAGTTTAGACATACTTGATTTTAACATTTATCATAAAGTTGTTATAACAACACCATTGTGTAATTTATTAAACATTCAGGAATACTTTGGGGAGTTTTGTCAGCTATCATTATACAGCTGAATGAGACACACATTAAGTACATTATTTAACACCTCTTGTTTATTCCAGTACACATAGACAGATATATAGTATTTCCATACTTTGAATTAAGGATATAATGGTAACACTTCAGCCTCAAGGTGAAAGGTGAAATGTTCACTAAACTGTAAATATTAAAAAAACAAAGACTTAATTTTGGGTTAAACCAGCATTGAAGCAGCAACATTTTGCTGCAACTCATCTCAATTAAATCGTCACAATGTCTGGACTCACTCGCAGGAGCAGTGAGCTAAATAACCAGCTAAGCCAAAATCACCAATAGGCAGCAACCAGTTAATCACCTGATCCAAATAATTAACCAAAGAATGGAAAGAAAATTCCTAATAGCAAGAATCAGTTGGTGCGGCAATAATCCCTCCATATGCAAAATAAATCCTTATCAAGGATCAGTCAGTCATCAATGAGAAATTAGCAATCAGTTATCACCAAGATATATATGCTGATGCATTCAATCATGAGTAGATTAAAATGTCAAAGTTAAAACTAACCTTTAAAATGATAAATTTGTGATATAAAAATTATGAAAATGCTTATTATAATAATGCTTAGAAAGCTTGCTTTTCTATCAAAAAAGCAATTAATCAAAATGTTACTCAATTATTAAAATATGACAGTTGTCTATGGTCAAAATCACCAATTAGGTTGTTCAATCATCATCAAGCTAAGAAGTAATCAAACTGAGTATGTTCATTAGTAGATTAAAAGTATGAGCAATAATCAACTAAATTAAAAGTGAGTGATTACCAATCTAAATATGAAACTATGGTTTAAGAGTATAATGTGTCCCAGACAAATCTTGGACAGAGTTTGCAAACACAAATTTTGTTTTATAAACCCCCTGTCTATTAAAATGTTTCATTTTTATACTTTGCTACCAAATGTAAGCATTTCTTTTTAGCAATGATAGCTCCAATAAAAAGTATATTTCAGATACTGTTTTAAATTCATACATATAGTACTTTGGTTACTGTGTGTGTGTTAATATGCATGTATGCATATGTACCTGTAAAATATGAAAACGACTTTGAACTGAGCTGCAAACAGCAGCTGTAAACTGATGATTATGTCTGAAACATCATCACAATAATTGATTAGACCATTTCTGTGGAAAAATCTTCAATGTGTGTGCCTCTCCTCTCCCCCAGTTATCCTGGTGAGAGAGGCTAATATTAAAAGTGAAACAGTGAGGATTATAACAACGGTTTGGGAGAGTGAAGTTGTGTATGTGTACATGTCTGTCTGTGGTTGTATGGACACATTTTAGTTCCAACCCAACCCAGTGTTTTGAGGTTAGAATTACGTTTCGGTTAGTGTTACACATTTAATATTCACGGGGCTGGCCAATGCATTATGACATTGTGAGGTTAGAATTACGTTTAGGTTAGTGTTACACATTTAGTATTCACGGGGCTGGCCAATGCATTATGTCAGTGGGTGTTCTCACAGCTACAGTATAGAAGGACCACACGTGCGTGTGTCTACAGGATGACACAGCAGCAGGTTGCCGGGTAGTTCTCAGCGCTGACATGGTTATTGTTGCCATAGACCACATAGACATGAGACGCACCTTTCCAGCTGTAGTTCACCTTAGTGATGGGGATCAGCTCGACTGTCTGCCTCTGAGGAGAAAGAGAGGGTGTGTAATGTTAAAGGAATAGAAATACTCTACCTGGACCTCTCTTTGTACTGGATGAACAAAGATGAACCTGCTCATCTGGCTCTGGAGAAGACAGACAATATATCCCCTCTTCCTGAATGCATTAACTCATAATGATGTCTTGTCAGCTTTGATTTTCTCTGATTTCTGTCATAGAGAGGTGGCCTGCTGGTCTGCTATACCTGCTGCAGGATCCTGGAGGTCTGGCCATGGTTGCTTTGGTGCTCTTTAATCAGACGCTCAGATGCCTCAGCAATGGTTGGGTTTGGGAACTCAAACAGTGGAGAGGCCTGAGAGGAAAGAGACATTAACACACAACATCAGCAACACCCTCCATAGCACTACTACTCTAGTGTTTTGTTTATGATGTATACAGTATGTACGTTGTCTTTATTTTGTACAATTTACAATAAAGAGGGTTTTTAAAGGTGGAGAGTTCCTGCCTCAAGTGGAGGAGTTCAAGTATCTTGGGGTCTTGTTCACGAGTGAGGGAAGGATGGAACGGGAGATTGACAGGTGGATCGGTGCAGCTTCTGCAGTAATGCGGTCGATGTACCGGTCCGTCGTGGTGAAGAAGGAGCTGAGCTGTAAGGC